CAGAGGTTGCTATACATTTCATATCATGAGAGTGAAGGTGTGCATTAAATACTATGGTGTTAATTTGCTACCATGTGCTTAGCATTTTACAGTAGTACTAACAATTCCCATCCAGCCTTCAGAAAATCAGGGATGGTCTTTTCTGCATCCTACCACCTGCCTTTTAAAACATGGATACTGAAAAATGTCTCTGGGTTTTATTTACCATTATTTTTAAACGTCATCACCCCAGTGGCTCTCTCAGAGTGATCTAGGACTGTATTCAGTGAAGATTCTGTCTGACACTTAGATTTTGCTGTAAGGAAGTGTTACTGAATCTGTTGAGAAAAGGCAGGATTTAGGTTTTTGTCCCCTATGGAGGGCAGGAGTTGAGAGAGATCCAAAAGTGGTTTGAAGGGAAATACAGGTATTTGAGATAGTCCCACAGAGTGTCTGCCAAGGCAGGAAAGAATCTGGGTGTTGCCGTTTGGCACTCACACGAAGAAGAAGTCCTTCCTGTTCCTTTCCTTTCCCATCGAGCAGCTCCTGACCTTTTGCACGTGGCCATTGCTTTAGCTGCTGCATTGCAGGTCTCTGATCAGTGCAGCTCCTGGCTGAGATGTGGGGTGGGAGCAGGTGGAGGGATGGAAAAGGGTCCAGTGGAGGGCCATGAAGATGATCAGAGGTCTGGAGCACCTCCCTGTGAAGAGAGGCTGAGGGAGCTGGGCTTGTTCAGCATGGAGAAGAGAAGGCTGCAGGGAGACCTCTTTGCAGCCTTCCATTAATTACAATGGGATTATAAAAAGGAGAGGAATCAACTTTTTCTTGGATAGATAATGACAGAACAAGGAGAATGGTTTTAAGCTCAAGGAGGGAAGGTTTAGATTGGATATCAGGGGGAGGTTCTTTACAGTGAAAGTGGTGGGGTGCTGGAACAGGCTGCCCTGAGAGACTGTGGATTCCCCATCCCAGGATGTGTTCAAGACCATGTTGGATGGAGCCCTGGGGAGCCTGGTCTAGTACCAGATCTGGAGGGAGGTGGGCCTGCCTGTGGCAGGGGGACTGGAGCTCCATGATCCTTGGGGTCCCTTCCAACCTAGGCCATTCTATGATGATTCTATGAGATGAACCACTGCCATGAGCTGCAGCCTTGGTTTTGGACAGCCAGCTGCAAATGTTGCTGTCGTGAGAGAGGCATGTACTGAATTAGTTCTGTGACACTACATAGTGATAATCCAGCACATAGTGTTCAGGTTTAAGGATATACAAAGGAAAAAAGGAAGCAGGACCACTTGTGCATCCACTCTCTGCTCCTCCCTACTCCTCCTCTTTGGTTTCCAAGCCAGCTATGGAGCAGTTGTGTGGGCGTTGTTTTTGTTCATTAGACCTCATGGGGCCTTACAACCCTCACGTACGCATTAAGAAGAGGAAGGCTCACAGGCCAGCCCAGTTCCTGCTGTGTGGGCTGCTGTCCTGTGCAAGGAGCATGGCCTGCACTGGCTGCCATGGTTTGCAGGCCCTCACCAGATCCTGGTGTCCCCCGGGGAATCGCAGGCCCTGCACTGGCTGCCATTTGCTGCGGGGGGGAATTACTCAGGAAGAAGTAATTAAAAGTTTCAATTATGGCTATGTTAATACTAGAGATCTCAAGCTTTGAAGATTATCACGGCATTCAGAAAAAATAAAAATAAAAAAATCTTGGTTGGAACTACTCGTGCCTTTAGAAAGGGATTTTTTGAGTGTCAAAGCCTGTTTTTTAGAGTGTTGCTAATAAGACATTAGTAAGTTATTAAGCTATGAATAAATGAAGCTGTGTTTGTTTTAAAGGCTGCTCATCTGTTCTATTTTCATTGCTGGGTATTGCTCTGCACAGCCTGCCAAGCCCTTTGCAGATGAGCTGTACTGCACTTGACAGCTCCCTGCCTGGAGTAACTTGTTATCTCTGTGAAACACAGCAACAAAGGGAACATCAGATGAGCGTGTTGGAATTGGTGAGGGAGGAGCATTCCCAGAGTGAAGTAAGGTCAGGAATATTGCTGCACAATGGCTGCACTATGCCTTCACAACCTTGGAACAGTTTACGGAGCTCCTAGGTGGGTGAATATGAGGTGTGTGTCCCATGGGACATCCTGGCAGAGCTGCTCCTCTGTTTGCTGCATTTGGAGCTCTACTTCAGTTCCCATCCAGCTTGGATTGCCGAATCTCCTTTCCTCAGGAGGTGGGATGGGATGGGGTGGGGGGAAGCAGTACGAAGCGGAGCATAGGATAAGAAATCACCTTGTTGCCACCTGATAAACTGGGCCAATTCAAAGCAATTTTAAAGAAGCATTTTTAATGAAGTATTGAACTTTTTGAGGCTTTCTGAAGATTGTTGTGCACCTTTTGTCGTGTGTTTGCCCTTGCTAATAATGAATTAGAATGTTATCCATCTTAAAGTTTTTAGTCATGTTTGTATCAGAAGGCAGTTCTCTGCTAACGCTGCCAGTAAAAAGCAGAAAGTCAAATATCACAGAATCACAGAATCACTGAGGTTGGAAAAGACCTATAAGATCATCCAGTCCAACCATCCACCTATCGCCAATGGTTCTCGCTAAAATATATATCAATAACTTCTTTTAAAACTGGAGTTTATAATAATATTTTTATTAGAGAAAAAAAAAAAATCAAAACTTCAGCTGACTACTGAGAAATGTCCACCAGAATTATTTTTTTTTTTGTCATAAATAAAACAGTGTAGTAAAACCATAATTTTCTGTTAATATTTTTAAATAATTTTGCTGAAAATTTGTGATTAGAAGTATGTAGGAAAACTGTCCTGTTGAAGCTGAGAAGACTTGAATATTGTTTATGACAGCAAATATAATGAGCATTTCATTTCTAGATGCCATATTCAGAATTATGGGAGCCTGTGGAAAGGATTATCTTCTCTTTTTCTGTGAGAGTAGTGCCAAGTATGTCTGAATAACCAAATTATTATTTATAATTGCCTTTATTTCATTTCTAAGAACAGGTATGAGACATTAGTCTTTGCTGGAAAAATAAATAAATCATAATTCTTTCTGGAGGCAGCTGACAGAGACAACATTATGAATTATGGAGAGATTTTTTGTTTTTTAAAACTGTGTCATCAGATGCATGACTGAAAAGCAAAATATAACGTAGTAAGAAGTAGAAGTAATGTAGTTGCTTGCATGATTAAATGATTTCTCAACGGTGTCCACTTCAAAAGGTGTTCAACAGCTCTAGGGAAGATTGCCCCATGTAAAAATCCAATTCCATTTTGTAGTTAGAGATAGTTTGTATTTTTTAGCCTGTTCTCAGATAGTTTACACTCGCTTTATCTGGCTCTCAATTGCCTAGGTAAGATTTGGAGGCTTTTAACACGTGTCAATATAGTATCACACTTTATTTTGTATTTATTTGGAAAATGACTGCCTTGTTTGGTTCTATGCAGATAAAGTTTGCTCTTTTGGAAGTCTTGTCCTGACTACCTTTTTGCACTTACTGTGAAATATATCCCAGCCTTCCCCTGGGTGAAGTGATAGCTCTTAAGCACAACGTTCAAAGCACTGGCAAACCCTCTGGCTGCATCTTGGGCTCTCATGAAGAGCACTTCTGTGCTACAGTTACTATGAAGGGAAAAACAAAACTCTTTGCGACTGTCTCATAATTTTTGTTTCCTATTTGACTGGATCAAATGCAGTCATCTCTTTGGAATTTTAATCGTCTGGGTTAACCTCAAAGCTTACTTGGATATTTTATGGTAGAACATTACAATTGTTGATTTGTTGGCTTGCATATCTCAGAGATCCTTCTCAATCTGTTTGTTGTAGTACTGTGGGTACTGGGGATACTTGATTGTCTGGATCCAGTTGCTGGTCTGAGACTTGACTTGATGCATGCTTCTGTCAGCATACATTAATCTCAAGCTCTTTTACCATCTTAGAGTTGATTTCAGTGGGTGTTGTATCATGCTTGTAGTCTTCCAGATCTCATGAATTAGACACGTGACATTTCAGCTTATCCTCTCCCCTTTATCTGAAGACTACTGCATTTTAAGTTGTAATACTCATACACAGTCTTCTTGTTTATTAAACATTTATCTTTGTTCCTCTAAAAAGTAGTTATACTTGCATTTTACATGGCATCACTTACCCCAAGTCTTTTACAAAATTCTTTGTGCTTCATAAACAAATACAAGCTATTTTATATGTCAAACAATCTTTTTCAGCAGGTTTTGAAGAGGAAAATTGCAGAATAATGGGGGAATTCAAATTGCTAGTATGTCTGAAACAGTCCTTGGAGTTGGTTAAGTACCAGACTTTTAACTCACAAAGTGAATAAATAGGAGGCAGGTTCAGCCAGTGGTTGTTTTATACCCTGTATTTTCCTCTGCATCATTATTTACCTGACAATCTGAGTGCAGTTCTACTTGACCTTGTGCTATGTCTGAAGAAATAAATCCATGATAGGAGGTGATCTGGGAAGACGTAAGCTTGAAAGTGTGACATGCAGATTGTAATTAAAAGTGTTATTTTTAGAATCACAGAATCATAGAATCATTTGAGTTGGAAGGGACCCTTAAAGGTCATCTAGTCCAACTCCCCTGCAATGAGAACAGGGACACCTACAGCTGGATCAGGTTGCTCAGAGCCCCATCCAGCCTGACCTTTAGTATCTCCAGGGACGGGGCATCCACCATCTCTCTGGGCAACTTCTGCCAGTGCCTCACCATCCTTATTGTAGAAAACTTCTTCCTTATATCCTATCTAAATCTCCCATCTTTCAGTTGGAAACAATTTTCCCTTGTTTTATCCCAGCAGACCCCAGAGTCTGTCCCCTTTCTTCTTATAGCTCCCCTTTAGATACTGAAAGGCCACTCTCAAGTCTCCCTGGAGCCCTCCCTTCCCAAGGCTGAACAGCCCCAGCTCTGTCAGCCTCTCCTAGCAGGGGAGGTGTTCCATCCCTTGGATCATTTTTGTGGCCCTCCTCTGGATGCACTCCAAAAGGTCCACTTCTCTCCTGTACTGAGGACTCCACATCTGGACGCAGTACTCCAGGTGAGGCCTCAGCAGCAGAGAGTAGAGGGGCAGGATCACCTGCCTCACTCTGCTGACCACACTTCTTTTGATGCAGCCCAGGGTGTGATTGGCTTTCTGGGCTATGAGGGCACACTGCTGGCTTATGTCCAACTTCACATCCACCAGTATCCCCTTGTCATTTTTTGGCAGGGGTGTGCTTTGTCCTTACATCCCCCAATTTGTATTGGTAGTGGAGGTTGCCACAACCCATGTGCAAGACCTTGTATTTGGCTTTGTTGAACCTCATGAGGTTCTCCTGGGCCCACTGCTCAAGCCTATCTAGGTTTCTCTGGATGGCATCCTATTCCTTCGGTGTGTTGACTGCACCACACAGCTTGGTGTCATCCAAAAAGTTGCTGAGGGTGCACTTGATCCACTGTTGATGTTATTTATGAAGATGTTAAATAGCACTGGTCCTAGTACTGACCCCTGAGGGACACCACTTGTCACCGAACTCCGTCCAGACATTGAACCATTGATCACTGGGTACAATCTCATAATCAGTTCTTTGTTCATTGAACAGTCCACCCACCAAATACATATCTTTCCAATTTGGAGAGAAGGATGTTATGGGAGACTATGTCAAAGGCCTTAATGAAGTCCAGAACATCATTTGTTCTACCCTTGTGTGAGACTGATATGTTTCTTTAGTGAGCCATTAAATTTCTCCTCCTTTCAGGTTCAGTGAATATTGTCAATCAGAACCTACAGATTTCCCATAGGTAATCCAAAATTATGTGGGATAAAAAAAAAGATTTGAAAAGCATTACTGCTTAATCACAAAGTGTGCGTTGTGTTAACATCAGCCTTTAATATCTGCAAGTGATCAATCTCAGTAATAAGGGGGTGTAAGTTATTTAGTTTTCTGTCAGGACACCTTATTTGTGCTTTTTCTAAGCCAACTAGTCAGAGCTACAAATATTTTTAATGTTTGCCATTTATCCTGTTTTGATCCAGAAGAGTCCAATTACTTGCCAGCTGTGTGCTGGTTGTTAGCCTTCATGAGAAATGTGCTTGTTCGGGCTTTTGGTGGTGGTGGTTTTTCCCACTGAGAACCCTATACTCATAATAAACATCTTGCAAAGCTAAATTATTTATCTTAAATGTTAACCAAGGACATTTTGATTCTTCATGGCTATTAACTTTTATTATTTATTTACAATACTTGCATAGTTAATGTGAGAAACACATGTTTTTTGTACTTCCTGTTTTGTATACACTCTCGGTTTTTGCAGTGTGATTAGATTCAACATCTCGAGTTTATTCTTTCAGCTGGAAAAGTGCCTTAAATCATGGATTTGAGACACAACATGCACTCTGAAAAGCAAGCAAAAATCCTGTAAAAGCTGGTAACATACCACAGTGTTGTATTTTACCACACTGGCTTCCAACTGGGCTAGGGAAAGGGGTGAGCTCCCAGCCAGGTTCAGTGTTTCTGGGGCACCTCAGCCAGCCCCCAGGCTGGAGATGGCTGTACCCTGTCCTCTTGCTGTCTTTAAACCAGAAATTATGGGCTTAATGCATATTATGGGTAGAAAACTGTGGATGTTGGAGCTTATACTGGGTGCTCAAAGTTGTTCCTGCTGAACTTGGAATTAGTGAAAAGCAATAAAATGTCAGCAGGTGGAAGGATGTTAACAGTGTGGGTAAGAGGTGTGACTGTTTGTCAGGACGTGGAGGAAGTGGATCCCACATCTTCACTGTTATAAAGAATTGCATCACTCAGTGGCTAACAATAAGGACTACATAATAGATAATTTGTTAGAGGGGCCCCCTTCAGAAAAGAAAGGACTTGTTCAGTCAGTCCTTTAATGACCGTGTCTGTCCATGGGCATGTGGGGGTAAGGGAGGTCGAATAGCCAGATGAATTTCAACAGAAAGCCTTTGTGTAAAATATACAGAAATATACATAAAAGAAGAATCTTTTAAAACAGTTTCCAAGTAAAATGTAAAGTTGCAAGGCAAAAAGGCATTACGGTATTTTGTTCTGTACCAGGATTACTTCTCAGTAAATATTCTGAAGGTGGTACTTCAGAATATTTTTCCTGTTTTTGAATCCTCTTTCTGGTTAAATTATATTTGAAAGAGATTGTTCAGCTGTATGTGTAAGAAGATAAATACATTTCAAATTGATGGACTATGAGGAATTACGTTCACTGTACTTGTCATCAAGTGTAGAGATTATGTGGAGTCATAGGGTACACAAATTGAGAAGTCTAGTATTAATTCTTAGTTCTTTATTTCTTGAACACCAAAATAAGGAGACATAATCCTTCAGTTAAGCAAAGTGAATGTTACTTTGGAGAATGAGAGGATTTGAAGTCTGTTCCTTGATTTAGCCACCCATTACAAGTAAATTTATAATTCACTCTCTTGATCTGTGATACTCTACTGATCAACTGCCAGAATCTGGAGGTTCTGCAGTTTGGTTTGTTCAATTCTCTTCTGCAGAAATACTGAGAAGAATTTCAATTGCCTTTGGTGAAAAATGCCAATGGAAAGGTGGAGCCTCATTGCTTCACTCGCAGTAAGAAATTGTTTTACTGGGGGAATACTCAAGCTTGTACAGATTTTAAATCTACCTTAAATACATCTGCTTTACTTCAGTTCAGTGTCTAAAAAACTAGATTTGAAGACTACTTTTCTCTCTTTTGATGAAGGAGTTTGGCTAGAAGGCTTATAGTTCCAGTACTTTCTAACAACCATTAAATATATAATGTGGTGTCCACCATTTATCTGCCTGCACAACTTGTAAATAATTTAATGTTTTACTTTACCACTTTGCTTCTTCACATAACTCTAAACTGTGGAAGATAAGATTCAGCTAAATTATTAATTCAACTGGAAATTGTAACAAGTGATACATATTAAGCACCGAAAATTGCTTCTTTTTTCTCTGGGGAGAATACAAGCAGTGAAAAACAGCAAGGGAGCTAAATGGGCAATGTAATAACTGAATAGTTGGGATTGGAAAGCCCTTCTGGAGGTCATCTAGTCCAACTGCCTCCTTCAAGCAGATCTGCTTACCATGGACTTGTTCAGATGAGCATCCAGGCTGCATGTGGCTCTGGGCAGCTTGGGGTAGTGGTTGGCAACCCTGTCCACAGCAGGGAGGGTTGACACTAGATGATCTTTGAAGTCCTTTTCAATCCAGGTCATTCTATGATTCTACGAACACCTCTGAGGGTGGAGATGATGTTCCAGGAATCTCCTGTGTCCTCTGATATGTGGGCCAGGTACTTGGGACCTGTTGCCTGGCCAGCTGCAGGGATTTGCAGTATGAAATATGTCCTCACTTGTTTACATCTTTTCACCAGAGCACGGAGATGGTGTACTAGTGCCATGGTGACAGCTTCTAGAGCAAAACATTTACTGCTCACTCTTATGTGGGACTTTAACAGATCACCACACACTGACTTTATGAAGGCTTCTGGGTCTTACAACTTAAAATAATCTGACTTTATTTTTATAGCAGTCCATTGTTTCTTTTTGTCATTTATTGGGTTTTGTTTTATTTTGCCACATTCATCTAAAATACAATGTAATAGTTTTTACAGATTGGTTTTAAATGTGGTATGTAGCTGTGAAGCCAGGGATGCTCCACTATTTGATGCATCCAAATTTGATGCAGAGAAGCTTGCATGGCATGATTCACTGTTCAGTAAAGTGTTATATATATCATAGTTTAACCTGTCTTCTGCAAAATAGTCAGTGATAAGATTTCCCCTAATATAACTTTGGTTTGATTTGGGTTTATTTGGAGAACAGCTGGGAAGTTCTAAAAGGTTTGATTATTTTATGTCTTCAACATTGAACTTCACCATCTGTGCTTTTTCTGTTTCATTCTCCTACCTGCTTTTGACTCTCAGGATGTATCTGGAATCCTATATGTTCTTCTGGTGGATAAGATCAGTATGTGTGACACCTTTCAGCTGTGCAGCCTGTATTTAAGGGTCCAAAATAAAAAAAACATACCATACAGATCTGTGCTTTGCTAATAGAGCAGCCTGGTGCCAGTGGTATCTACGTATCGCACATCTGATCAAAGATTGCTCCTGTGACCAAGTCTCTTATTAATGCTTGATTGCATGATGAAATGACTGCTTTCTGAGATAGCCATGTCCTTGGATTTGGATTCCCACTGCTGGTTAGTAAGCACCCTGCTAACTGTTGTCAATTGCACAAGTGAAACACCTGAGTTTGGAGGGCATATGTGGAGTGGGATTTGTGTGCCAGGACTGAAATGCACACAGTTTAAATGCACTGGGACACTCTATATGGCATAGTAGATGGAGTGGAAAGAGGAGTTTCAAAATTGTCACCTGGAATGGATTCCAGCTTTCAGGAGCAGATCATGCTTCTCAGAGATCCCAACCTCTTCATCTCTGAAATGATGTTCCCAGTATCAGTCTTCTAGTGTGAGCATTCTTGCTTGCTATTTTCTATTATATTTCTATAATATGCTATAGATGGAATGTGTTTCTCATTCTTTTTAAGAATTACACCATAGTGACTGCATATCACGCTGTGTTTGTTTTACGTTTTCAGAAGGAAAATTGTCTTGATTCTTAGTTGTCAAAGAGCTTTTCATTTTTTAACTTAATCACAGACTTGTCCTTGGCACTGGCAGTTCCAGATGGTCAAAAAACCCTTGGTTTCTTTCTTAGTGTATATTTAGACCCTTTTGCTTGAATGTCTTTAATTATGACTGCATAATTAAAACCTCTATTAGAATTGGCTATCTGATAAGCAGAATGAGAGAAACTGACTCTGAACTGGCTAAACTTGGATTGTCTGTCTAGTAAAATATTGACCATCCCACTGGTAACTCCCTTAATCCCAGTTCAATTAAATGTGTTTATATGTACATGGGAAAAATCCCATTTTGCTGGAGTTCTACATAAGTGACCATCAAAATCAGCAGTTAAAGAATTTTTTTCTGTTTATTAATATTACAAAAATCTCCTTCTTTCTCCAAACACTTGTGTGGTATATCACTTTTGCATCCCCATGGCACTTCAGAAAGTTGC